ACCCAGTCTCATACTCTTCCTACCACCATGATGTTGGAGCCAACCAGAATTTCCCAAGATTCCTGACTATGCTCCCATTTTATTTATACTAGAGGCCTGGCACATGGATTCGTACAGCGGTGGGGGTCCCTTGGCCTGGCCTGCACCATCTCACAATCCGGGACCCCTGGGGTGATGTCAGAGAGCCGGTTTTGGCCTGATCCCGCAGGCCAGACCAAGGGACCCCACCAGTGCACCGGGTCTCTAGTATGCATATAAGATCTTTGATTAATCTCTTCCCGCCATTCCCCCTCCTCACTTCCCTCTGAGATTCATCAGTCTGTTCCATGTTTCCATGCCTGTGGTTTCTGCTCCTATGTTGAGCGACAGCCCCCTGGTGGTCAGTGTGCATCACAGCTACCAGCAGGTCAGCTGGTCGTCTGGTCACTTAGGCTTTTATATATATAGATATACATACTTACTCTGAAAAAGAAGGGGAGTGGTGGTGTCAGTCAGTGAGGGATAGTATATGATGAGGAAAGAGCTTAGATTCAGAAATTGTCTCGTTTTTCAATTAGTTTTACTATTTATTTGTATTTCTGAGGTTTAGTGTCTTCAGCAAAGGGGGCATAAATTATTATTAAATAAAAATAAGCTGCCTCAAAAGATTATTACGAGGGTTAATAACATATATAAAGAACCTAGAACACAGTAGGTGCTCAATAAGTCATATCCTATATAATAAAAGCCTAATATGCAAATTAACCAAACAGTGGAACGACTGGTGGAATGACCAGTCACTATGACATGCACTGACTACCAGGGGGCAGACGCTCAACAGAGGAGCTGCCCCCAGCCCGCAGGCCCCAGGCCAGCCGAGGTGAGTGCCAGTGGGGGCCTCCCAGATCGCCCCGCCGGTAGCACAGTGGGGGGCAGGGCCGGTCAGCATGCAGTGCCAAGCCTCCAACCAAGGCAGGTGCCAGCAGGGCCTCCCCCCCCAATTGCCCCACCCACCAGTCTCCCCACAGATCGGCCCTGATCGCCAGCCAGGCCTAGGGACCCTACCCTATATATTGGGAACAATCTCTTAGATTTAAAAATTAAAACCTGGCAAGGCTACTCTAACACTGAAAAAACAGGATGATGGCAGTGATAATATGCATGGACTCTGGCTTGCACATTTTGTGATCAGCCCTGATTCTGACACTTATAACTGTGTGACAAAGCCGATTACTTAACTTCTCTCTGCTTCAGTTTTTCTATCCAGAAGATGGGTAAAATGGTACTACTGCCTCAGAAGGACCATGTTATGTACTACTTTTTATAATCAGGGCAAAAAAATGTAGCTGCCCATACAACAGCAAGACACCTTTCACCTGTATGAAAAGTATGGTCACTGGTGCATACAGCGTCCCAGATTGCGAGAGGGATGTCCGACTGCCAGGCTGAGACACCCCCCCCCTCACTCCTGTGCATGTATTTTGTGCACTGAGCCTCTAGTATATTTAATAAAGATATATTAAAGTAATCGTCTATATGCCATAAAAACCCTTCAGTCTTTGAGAAGTGCTCAGTTAACAATACTGACACTTTTATAATAAATTAGTACTTAGATGTGTAAATGAAAGTTACACACCCACCCACATGCAGCTGTCTGTTAAAAAAAAAATCCATCTTCATTGAATGAACATCAAAAGTCAACTCTACACAAATCAATATTCTCTTCCTCTACCTCCCACTGTCTCATTTGGATGCTTGAAAACAATTCTTAATGTCTTTAGACACAATCTGCTTACTTTTAAACTGCCTAAAATGAAATGAGAAACACTGTATTTTTAAAAGTACAAAAGGCCCTGGAGTAGGAGGCAATCCAAGCGAGGGCACAGCTCTATATGCAACATCCTCTGCATAGGTCATGGACCCCTCAGAATGGTAATTACCCAAGGCTCGTCCCATTGCTAAAAACAACTGTTTAGCACTTTCTGGTGAACAAAGAGTTTTCACATATAATTTTAAATGCTCTTAAGAAACCAAGGAAAAGATGCTATGTCCTCTGTGTGGCAACAAAAGCCGGGGTAGGGAATACTCTCCAGACATCCTGGCTCACTAGATGACTGAATTTATATTACTGTTATTAATTTGCTAGTAACCAAGTAGCTTGGAACAACAGGCATTTATGGCCTCACAGTGAGGCAGGCCAGAAGTCTGAAATTACTGTGCTGGCAGGGCCATGCTCCCTCCCTCTGTAAGCAATAAGAAAGGATCTGTTTCAGGCTGCTCCCTTAGCTTTGAGTACATAGTTCCTGGCCCTGTTGCAGCTGTGGGGGAGGAAAACGCTTTCCTCTATCTACCCTCAAGCTTCTTTGGATGGTCAGATAAGACATGAGACAGAACAGCAAGAGAAAATAACCAAATTTAATACGTACATATGTATGGGAATCCCACGTACATGTGGGAGTCAGAGACCCCACATGCACAAGAGGTTCAGAGACAGAAAAGGAATATTCTGAGCTGGGGTGAGGCAATGCACCTTGGGGCTTCAGGAGGTCACTGCAGGGAGGAGGAAAGCACATGTTCAGTAATTTACCAGTTGGCCCTACCATATAGATACTTAAAAGCTTATTTCTGCTGATAACTCTTTTCATAGGTCAGGCTCCTGATTTAGATTCTTCTAGGTAGTGGAGGTGGGAGGCAGGAGTTCCTCTAGAGCCTGCAGGGTTCATCTGCATACCACTGAGGCATATCTTGGGGTGACTAGCTCTGAACGCCCACCTGCCCCGCAGCATAACTCCAATCTTCACAAGGCATTCTCCTCGTGTGCGTGTGTCTGTGTGCAAATTTACCCCTTTTTTAAGGACCTCAGACAAACTGGATTAGGGCCCATCCTAATGACCTCATCTTCACTTGATCTTCTTTTCAAATAAGGTCACACTCACAGGTACTAACTAGGGTTTCCATGAATTTAAAGCACACAGTTCAGGCAGTAGCAATTGCCGTATCCTTCTTCCTCCTAACCTTGCCAGACTCTGGGGGCAAATAGCATTCATTAACTCATTCAATCAACGTTTGAATGCTTATGTATCAGGTTCTGTACTGGGTGGGTATTGATGCAAAAAAAAAAAAAAAAAAAAAAAAAGAACTGGATGGGGCCATGGTCCTTAACAAGTCACACTTTAGAGCAGCGGTTCTCAACCTGTCGGTCGCGACCCCTTGGGGGGGGGTTGAACGACCCTTTCACAGGGGTCACCTAAGACCATCGGAAAACACATATATAATTACATATTGTTTTGTGATTAATCACTATGCTTTAATTATGTTCAATTTGTAACAATGAAAATGCATCCTGCCCTGACCGGTTTGGCTCAGGGGATAGAGCGTCGGCCTGCGGACTGAAGGGTCCCGGGTTCGATTTTGGTCAAGGGCATGTACCTTGGTTGCGGGCAGATTCCCAGTAGGAGGTGTGCAGGAGACAGCTGACCGATGTTTCTCTCTCAGAGATGTTTCTATCTCTCTATCCCTTTCCCTTCCTCTCTGTAAAAAAATCAATAAAATATATATTTAAAAAAAAAAAGAAAATGCATCCTGCATTTCAGATATTTACATTACAATTCATAACAGTAGCAAAATTACAGTTATGAAGTAGCAACGAAAATAATTTTATGGTTGGGGGTCACCACAACATGAGGAACTGTATTAAAGGGTCGAGGCATTAGGAAGGTTGAGAACCACTGCTTTAGAGGGAATCAGAGACACACTATTATAGTATTAAGTACAATTATCGAGCACCTACTTGCACTCGTGTTGAAGCAGACACTTCTCATTGTCTTATCAATATAATCGCGGGTGTGATAAGTGATTATCAGACCTGCGGGGGGTGGGGTGGGCAGGAGTCTTTTTACAAATTAGGTTGCCCTGCATCAGAGTCTAAGGGAAGGTGTAGAAATATACTAGGTAGGGCAAAGGTGGTTGCAGTGAGCAGCAGGTGCCAAAGAAGAGCATTTTATGGAGGAAAAAAACAGCAAAGAGTAAAGGTTTAAGGGATGCAGATTGTAAACTGGGATTTTAGCCCATTTTCTTCTCTCCTGTATCTCCAGCACTTTGAGCAGTGTCTGGCTCATTCAGTAATTGTTGAATGAATATAAGGGCATCACATGAATAAGGAATGGCATGGATTAGTTCAATGTCCTCCTGTAAGGTGGGCAAAGGCCGCACTAAACGGGAGAGACGAGGGCTCACATACTGTTGATATTCGCTAGTATTAGGGAATTACTAGAAGTCCAGGAATGCTTGGCACCCGCCCGGCCATTACTCCACATCCCCAGGGCAAGTTCAAGGGTTACAGCACCTTTGGAATGGCGCTGCACACTCCAAAGCAGGGTTCTTTGCACAGAGCTGGACTGATGCACGCAGTTTGGCATCCGAGCCTACGTGCAGCCTCCTCCGTCCTACTCTCCTCCCCCTCGCAGACTCTCAGCGGGAACAAAGCCGCCCCCGGGCATTCTAGGGACCCCCACCCGTGGGAGTGCCTACGTGCGCCAGCCGGCCGGCCCCGCCCTAGCTCCACCGGGAACGCTGCGAGAGCGCACGCGCACCTTCCCCGGCCGAGCGCGCTCCCGCGAGCTGCCCGCATCCCCGTGCTCATCCGGGTCTCAGCGAGCCTCAGCCAATGGAGGAGGCTCATGGCTACGGGGGCGGGGCTAAGCTTTCCTTCACGTGGGGCCTGTGAACACCCCAAGGCCCTACCCGGCAACCGCGACCAGTCCGCGGAGAAAAGGGACTGAGATAGAGAGACCGGCTTCTCCGCGAGGACCGACAGTTCTGAGATCGAACGGCTGCCGCCCCCTAAAGGGGACCGAAGAGCGAGCACATTCTCCAGTCCGCGCCGCTGTAGTAAACACACTTCAGAAACGTGAGGTGCCGGTGGTCACGTGGGCAGCGCGCCTTCCAGTCAGGAGCTGGGGGCGGGGCCGCGGCCGCTGACGCGGCGGTGGCGGCGGAGTCACCCGGGCCGGCTCGACACCGGTCACCGGCCGGCAATCCTCCAGCGGCCTCGACCGTCGCCTGCGTGTTCCGTCCTCGCTCCTGGGCCGAGAAGCAGCGTGGCCGGCGGGTGCCGAGTCCTCGCTCCTCCTCCTCGGTGGCTCGCCTCGGGCGGGCCGCTTTTCCTCAGGGACCGCCTCGGTGGGGCGAGGTTTCCGTGACGAGCCTCCTGGGGCTCCGGGGACCGGCTCGGGCTGTCGTGGCGGCTCGAGCCCCTGGAACTCGCTCACCCTCCGGGGGTCGACGGCCCTCGGAGTTATGCGTGTCATCCAGGCGGGTGCGGCGGGCGCCGGCTCCTAAAGGGCGTCACACCCGGACTCCGCTGACCGGGCAGCCTCCATTCGGCTCCCGGCTGCGCCTCCAGCGCCCTCTCCCTCCCCGGTCCGCTCCTCGGACTCATTGTTTCCTTTTCCCCCTCGGCCGCCCTGTCCTCCTGCCCGGGGTGCGGCGGTTCTCCTGGAAGCGGAGGTGTCGGTGATGAGCCGGACCCTCGTGCCTTGAATTTCTCCGCGGAGGAGCTCGGCGGTGCCCCGCCGCCCGCCGCTCGCCCGGGATGGGGGTGAACGCGGTGCACTGGTTCCGAAAGGGGCTCCGGCTCCACGACAACCCCGCCCTGAAGGAGTGCATTCGGGGCGCCGACACCATCCGCTGCGTCTACATCCTCGACCCCTGGTTCGCGGGCTCCTCCAACGTGGGCATCAACAGGTGGCGGTGAGTCAAAAATCTCGGGGGAAATTGCTGTCGGTGTTTTAATGAGTCGGGACTTGACAGATCAGCCCCATCTGGGCACTTCAGCCCGGGGTCCGACCGCCTTGCTTAACGCCGCTTGAAGAATTGTAGCTGCTTCGGGTGCGAACTAGGATGGACCGGATAGTTCTCTGGCCCGGGAGTGCTGGCAGCCTGGGACAGCCTGGCCTCCGAGTGTGAACTACGCGTCTCGGCGCTAATGGGAACTCTCCCCCGGATTTTATGGGGACTTCTCAGTGGCGCGGTTGAGGAAACACCCGCCCATTTCTCAGCGACCCCGTGGGTTGGTTTCCTTGGCCTCTTTGTGGCTTTCGGAAGGATTGCGGTTTTTCGTGTTTACGGTTGTGTCCCCGGTAATTCATACATAGCATTCAGCACAGTCGCCTTCCAAACCCAGTTTTCTTCCTCCTCGAGGTTGACGGAGGAAAAGCAAGGGAAATCACATCTGGTTTCTCTTTGCTCACAGCTCTTCCTCTCGAGCTCCCCCTGGTGGTGGGCTGGGCAACACGGCTTTTCTTTCTAGGCAAAGTATAATCCTTCCAGGGATCAGAGGCCTGGAGGAAATCTTAGAGACGCTGGATGATCTTCCCTGAAATGCCAGGCCAGGGGCTTATTCGGCCCTCTGGTGGAAGTGAAAGTGTTCGATGAGCAGAGTGACCGCCTGTTATATACGGGGCACTGCTTTAAACACCAGGGATATAGCAGTGAATAAAACAGACAAAAAATTCTTGTCCTTTTTGAGCATAAGCGTCAGAAAGTAAGATCTATAGTATTTGGTGGTGGAGAAATGCTGTGGAGAAATACAGAGCGGAGGAGGATAAAGATTGTAAGAGGTTGGGATTAGAATTGCAATTTAAAATGTGGCGATTGGGAAAAACTCAGAGAAGGTGGCAAGTTAACAAGGTGGTGAAGCAAATATGGACTGCGGCTGTCTAGGGGAGAAGCATTCTAGGCAGTGGGACGTCGGAGAAAGGGCCCCGAGGTGCAAATGTCCTTAACCTTCGGAACAAACAGCAGAAGAAGCCAATGTGACTGAAGCAGAATAGGTGAGAGGAAAAGTAGTAGATGTGGTCAGAGATGTAACAGGGCCATATTGAGTAGAGCTTTATAGGTAGTTGTGAAGATTTGGACTTGTACTCAAAGAGAAAAGTGGGAATAATGGCAGGATTATGAGCAGAGAAGTGACATGATCTGACTTAAGTTTGAAAAAATGTCTCTGCCTGTGATTCTGAGAACAGACTGAAGGCGGTGGAGTGTGCAGGTGGACAAGAAGCAGGAAGAGCAGTTAGGAGGCTGTTGTTATCCAGCTGAAAGGTGAGAATGGCTTGGACCTTAGTGATAGTGGTGAGAAGTAGTCAAATGCTGAGTATATTTTGAAGGCAGAATCCACAGTATTTGTTGGCTGGTTGGATATGTGGTGTGAGAGAAAGAGAGGAACTGGGAATGCTTTAAAAATATTTGGCTTGAGGATCTAGGAGGATGGAACTGCACTTTACTAAGAAAATGAAGTTAGAGAAGCCATTGGGAGGGTGTTTGGAGTTCTCTTTTGAACTTGGTTAAATTTGAGATGTTTATTACACATCCAAATGCAGATAGCAGACAGGCAATTGGAATTCGGAGCAGACAGAGATCTACGCGGGAGGTATAAATTGGAGAGTCGTCAGTTTATATATATATTTAAAGCTATTTATTCATCCATTCATTGAACATACATTTGTCATGCATTTAATATATGCCAGGCACTGTGTTATGTGCCAGCATTCAGCATAAACTAAACAGCTAAAACAAAACAAAGTCCCTACCTTGTTGAAGCTATATTCTAGTGAAGCCATGAAACTATATGAGAACATTAAGAAAATAAGCATAGGTAGAAAAGAGAAAAGAAAAATATTGAATATCAACTGTAATTAAAAAATGGAGTTTTTTTTTAAAAGAGAGAGGAGATCCACGGGCTGAGCCTTGGGTGCTCTAATGGGTAGATGTTGAGGAGAAACATCAGGTAAGTTAGGAAGAAAAACCAGCAGAGTGTATTGTCTGAGTAGCTAAGTAAAGAAAGTATTTTAAAGAGAGTATTTTACCTATGGTCAGGTGCTGTTGATAGGTCAGGTGAGATGAGGATGAAAATTTAAAAATTGTATTTAGCATTTTGAGGCCATTCATAATCTTGAAGAGTGGTTTCAGTAGTGTAAAGACACAAGCCTTTTTGGAATGGCTCAAGAGAAGCTGACAGGAGAAAGGTGGGAGACAGCTTACATAGACAGCTCTTTTAGGAAGTGTTGCTATAATAGGATCAGAGAAATGTGGTTCCTAGAGTGCGATGTGAAATCAAGAGAGGATTTTGTTTAAGATGGGAGAAATTACAGTATGTTTAAATGTTGATGGGAATGATACATCAACTATATATGAAACACTCATTAGCAGAATTAGTGTCATTAATGTTGATTCAGGGAAAGATGGTAAATATATATTTTAATGTATTAATAATATCTTATAGTAATAGAGTAATAATTCCCTTTTCATAAGATTGTTAGGAGGATTAAATTACTTAACAAATGTAAAATGCTTAAAATGTGAGTGGTAGTAGTAAATGCTTGTCAGTTGCTATTAAATTGGAAGCCTTTGGTAAATATCTAAATGTCTATAGTAAGTTTTTTCTAGAGCAGTTTATAAATTTATAAAATCTAGACTGTTAGCTTCTGTAGCAGGGGGATTATATATTGTTTTACTTTGTACACCCAGAAACTCACATTGTCAAATAATGAGTGAAATAAAACTGGTAACCACAATAGAAATAGTCCCATGTTTTGGATTGTGCATCTCCTGACTTCTGTCTTGAGTTCCAGACTCTCATATTCAGCATTTTTACTCTGATTTTAATTAAACATCTTAAGCTAGGTCTTGCCCCCACTCTCCCATCTCCCAAGGTTTCTTTAAATCATAATAAATAGCAACATTTACCTCATTGCTCTGCAAGAACCTCGGAGCCATCTTCCCTTCATTTCTGTTTCCTCACAACCTCATGTCTAGTCCTTCAGCAATTATTATGTCCTTTCCTTCATAATAACTTGCATATCCACTCAAATCTCACCCTTCCACTGCTATTATACTATCCAAGTCACCAGCATTCATTGCATGACTAGTGAAATAGCCTCCCTACTTCCATTTTTATGCCTTACCAGTCTGTTCCATGTGGAAGTGAGGTAATATTTTAAAAACTTTAATCAGATCATGTCATTCCTATGCCTCAGACCTTAGCAAGGATCATTCCTTCAATATCCCTCCTCAGAGAAGCCTTTTCTGACCATCCCATGTAAAGTAATTGCCCTACTACTTCCCCACACCTCCCACTTTTCACTTTTACCTCCTTGTCCTGTTTTGTTTTGTTTTTTCATGGCATTCATCACTACCTGAATTTATATATTTATTGATTTACTTCTTTATTGTGGTACTCCTTCATTAAATTACACAAGAGTGGGATTGATTCATTATTGGTTCCTCAGCCCTTTAACAGTGGTTTTCAGAATTGGTCCAGGGACACTTATGGTTTCCTGAGACTCCAGGTGTCTGTGAAGTCAGAATATCCTATCTAATAAAAGACAAAAAGGGTAATTAACTGTACCTCTGCTACGCTTCCCATTGGCTAATCAGGGAAATATGCAAATTAACTGCCAACAAAGTTGGTGGCTGGCAGCCATGCAGCTGAAGCGAGCAGGAGGCTTGCTTCCTCCAGTGATGGAGGAAGCCAAGGTTCCCCGCCTGCCGTGGCCTGGCTCTGAGCCCGAAAGCAACAATGTTTCAATTATAGAAGCTAAACAAACCCCAGATACCTGCTTTCAGCCGGCCGTGGCCTCAGAGCTGGGAGCCCCAGTGACGGCAGCAGTGTTTCAATTATAGAAGGTAAATAAATCCCAGGAAAAAAAGAAAAAGAAAAAAAGGAGAGGCTGGGAGCTTCAGTCGCTGGCCAGCCTGAAAACGGCCCTCAGCCCCTCACCCAAACTGGCCAGGCACCCCAGTGGGGACCCCCACCATAAAGGGGGTGTGGCCAGCCTGAAAACAGCCATCAGCCCCTCATCCAGGCTGGCCAGGCACCCCAGTAGGGACCCCCACCCTGAATGGGGTGTAACCAGCTGCAAACAGCCATCAGCCCCTCACCCAGGCTGGCCAGGCACCCCAGCGGGACCCCCACTCTGAACCGGGACACCCTTCGGGGCAAACCAGCTGGCCCCCACCCATGCACCAGGCCTCTATCCTATATAATAAAAGGGTAATATGCAAACTGACCCTAACAGCAGAACGACTGGGAATGACTGGTCACTATGACACACACTGACCACCAGGGGGCAGACGCTTAATGCAGGAGCTGCCCTCTGGTGGTCAGGGCGCTCCCACATGGGGGAGCTCTGCTCAGCCACAAGCCAGGCTGATGGCTGCCAGTACAGTGGTGGTGGTGGGAGCCTCTCCTGCCTCCTCAGCAGCACTAAGGATGTCTGACTGCAGCTTAGGTCTGCTCCCCACTGGCAAGAGGACATCCCCTGAGGGCTGCCGGGCTGCCAGAGGGATGTCTGATTGCCAGCTTAGGCCCAATCCCCCAGGGAGCAGGCCTAAGCCAGCAAGTGGTCATCCCCCGAGGGGTCCCAGACTGCGAGAGGGCACAGGCCGGACTGAGGGACCCCCACCCCCGAGTGCACAAATTTTTGTGCACCAGGCCTCTAGTTTTCATAATAACAGTAAGACATTATTTGACTTTGTTACTGTCATTCCCTCGCATGTGTACAGTCTTGTATTTCAGTAGCTGCATGATAAGTGAAAGCATTAGTGCTATGATGGCTAATATGTATGCTGGTGTATTGTGTTGTAAACTTCTTTCAGCTTTAATTTTTCACATACATGTTGATAAATATTACCTATAAGACAAAGCTCATTGGGGTTAATTAGTAATGTATATATATAAAAGCCTAAGCGAT